TTTTTTTTTTTTTTTTTTTTTTTTTTTTTTTTTTTTTTTTTTTTTTTTTTTTTTTTTTTTTTTTTTTTTTCTTTTTTCTTTTTTTTTTTTTTTTTTTTTTTTTTTTTTTTTTTTTTAATACTTTCTTCACTCTTCACTTCTTAGACTTTTTCTCTCACTGAATAAAAAACAAAGGAAAAAAGAAAAAAAAAAAGATTCTATCTTGCCTCCTCTTTTTGAAATGTCAACTTAGTTTCTGTTGAAAATTCTTTATAATAAAAAAAACACTTATTCTTTTTGTAAAGTAATATATTGGAAAAAGAAACAAGAAAAAAAAATTTCTCACACCGGAGGATTCTTATTATACACGCACTATACACAGGCTTAATAAAATAAAAATATAAATATGCATTCTCGTAAGGCATCAATATCACACGTTATGAACGATAACCAAACTTCGGGTTCCGGTGGTTTTAGTCTCAAGAGTATACTGTCTGATGACGGTCCCGCTTCACACGCTCACACACAGCAACACGCGTCTCTCTCTCAACATTCACAGTCACCTCTACCACCACCGCAATATCACCATGGTGCTGGTAATAATGGTGTTAATGGTAACGCCGGTAATACGGGTTATGGTGGCACCTACTCAAGCGAACGTGATTATTATCACCCTCGCTCGCATCAATCACAGCAGCAACAACAACCCTCACAGCTCCAGCATCAACAGCAACAGGAACAAAATAATCAACCTTACTCAATCGATGATTCTATAGCTGCTGAGGCCGGTTCGATCCTATTATCTCTGTCTAATCCAAATACCGCACCTCAACAGTCAACTTCTCATTATAATAATCAGTCAAGGGATTATTACCCTTCCAAAGATAATGAACAGCAAATGTCCGACGTGGAGATTGCTGCTACCATTTCTTCTTTATCAAACATTTCAAATAGTGTAAAATCAATTCCACAACATGTGAGTTCTAATCCGTGTATTCACATGTATATTTCCAATCATCGATTCTTTTGTAATAATGATCTTCCTTTCTTTTTTTTTTCCCTTCCTGTTGTAGCAAAGGCAGAGAGCAAAAAGTAATTCAATGTCCATCGCCTCATTACTGGGTTAGTTGTCATTAACGGATAATTTCCTTGATAAAATGTACACGTGATCACTCGATTAACGACAGTCTCTTCCGTCAATCTTTAGGTGGTGAAGAACCTTCTTCCTCGGATTCCGGGCGTTCGATTCCAAATGGATCGTTGGTTAATGTATATACATTTGGATACCGTTGTTGTTTTAAATATATCTAAAAACCTTTCTAACCTCTTTCTGATCAATTCATGCAGGAACCGTCGCAGCAAAGGTATCAGCAACAGCATCAAGAATCATATCCCGAGGAGATGAGAAATGGTGATATACATTCGCACCATCAGAGTCAACAAAATTTGGATTGCGGTCATTTTAACGGTTCATCCAATCACAATATTAGAAAGCATACAAAGAAGTTATCCGTAAGTTGATACTTCTCTCTTTCGGAAATCAGATCTGTTCGTGAATTCACGTGACTTGATTTTCTAAAATAGGGTGGATCGGCGTCTTTGGTCGTGAACACCACAAAGATTCCGCAAAGGGAACCAAAAGGGATTCAAAAGAAAAGTCCACAGAAACGTAGACCTTCTGACGCGGTTGATTTCACTAGTACGTTATAAAGTTATTATGTATATTTGAAAGAATTTTATTTTTAAAATTTCTCGTGTGACAAATAGATACAAGACCCAAGGTACATCGTAATCCGGAACTAAATCATTTCTCACATGGTCCTCCAACAACTTCCGGCGGTCCAAAATTAACCGAGTTGAGGGAGCATTTGGGTGAAGAGAGATTCCCAAATCGTATACCAGGTGGGTCATTAATAATGGTTTACAAGTTGATCATTTCAAATACTTTTTCACACGATTAACTTTGATGCTTGAATGTCTTTAATCAGCCGTGCACAATTATTCCATGGAATGGGATCGCGTACCTCATTCACATTCATATCATCAAGCTCGATCTTCTCATAGTATACCAATACAGAACGAAAATCGTTTTACAATGGCAAAGAATGTCAGTTCTCCTCCAATGCATGGCGATTCACAAAAATTAAATGTTAAAAATTTTTTAATGGGTAACAATGAAAGGCAGGGGAGCAAAACTTCTTCCCCACCTCCCCCTGGTCTACCCGTTCATGTTCCTAATGGTTACCCACACGGACACGGAGTTGGCGGAATGGCCGGAGCTCATGTGGTATATATATAAAAATATTCAAAAACGTTTGTCGGTTATTTTCGTGAGTCGGACAAGTCCGTTTGCTTACCCTTTCCCCCATAAATGATAGGATATCCCTCCGCAACTTTCGCAACAACCACCACCACAAATTCCACCGATACAAAATGGAATGCCATCCATAAGTGGACAGCATAGTGCATTCAGCAACCAGTTTTATAAGAAATATCAAGATATGGTTCGTGTGATCTTATTTTATTATTTTATTATTATCTTCCTTTTTGGTCACATATAGATGTTTCTTTTTTTTTCGTTCGTTCGTTCTTTCTTTATTTGGAATGATATGTGATCGTTTAATATTTTTGCAACAGAAGCATGATCCGAAATTAAAACGAAATGCCACGCACGCTTATATCCCTTACATGATTTATAATCAAATGGTCCGTAATCCTTTTTTTCATATTGTCCTTGATCTTGTTCTTGAAGACTTAGACGCGTAGTTTCAATGTACTTGATCATACTAACTTTACATCATTTTCTTCTATTTTTATTGTTTGTTTCGTCCGTGTCCGGTCTTTCTCTTTCTGATGCTCTTCTCAACAGGAAAACGGTAAATGTAAAGATGGCCATTTGCAATCACAAACTCCACCGCCGCAGAATAATAGCGTCATGAACAGACAAATCATGCCAAACGGTTCACCGATGAATAATGATCATGTAATGGTGTCACAAGTTAATGGGAGCAATTTATACGGTTCTCGTGACGGTTATCCTCCGAGTAATTCGGGATTTATGCATTCTTCCGAGGTAAGTAAATATAACTAGATCCACTATGTTTAACGCTAGCATTGATTAACATATATTATCAATATACACGTTTTGAATATTAAACAGGTTGCTGCCAATTCAGGAGTTCAACAACGTAGGGTACCTGATCCACCTACGCACCCGCATTCAAATGTTAATGCAATTTCAGGCTCACGTAATGCTTCCCACGTTTACCCTAATGGAGTTTCTCTAGTAGAACAACCACCACCACCACCACATACACAACGACGTTTAACTGGTTCTTCTCACAACTCTCCACCAATACAGTCGTCTGCGAACGTTCAACATTCATCATCACAGAGACCAAACGTTTTATCTTCATTATCAGAGCCATCAAATAGAACTTCAACACCATCAACTTCAAGGTCTGGTAGCATATCTCATCCGCAAACAACTTTACCACCAATGCAAATTCCTTCATCACATATATCATCACACCATCACCATCATAATCATCCTTCAAATTCACATTCACCACCACCACATCATCATCATTATTATTCATTACAAGATACAAATCATCAAAGCCATACACACCATGGACATTCACATACTCATTTTCATCACCCAGCAGTATCTCAATCAAGTCAACCTCAACATGTATATATGCCGGCACCTCTTGACCCATTAAGTTCACGAACACCACCCCAACCCACGTATATGCCATCACCTCATGATCCATTATCTTCACGAAATTCGTACGATAAAACGCCGCCGGCGCCACCTGTATACATGTCGGGCTCTTCACGAAATTCTTACAATGCTAAATCATCAGCTCCTATACCTCAATCACCCGCGATGAATCCTTCACGACAAGGCCCACCTGCAAGTCATTATCATAATCATACACCTTCACCCGGTCCGCCACAAAGTGGGTCAAATCGTTTACCTGGAATGTCTCCACACCATAATCATAATCTCCATTCAGAACCTGTCTGTGCTCCAGTAAACGGCAATCCATCAAATATTTTGAGTCCATCTAGGAGGTTATTAGAATCACAATCTCAGACAAATGGGTATGGGAATAATAACGGTCACTCGCATCATCTCCATCCTCATCTAGATGTCCCTCCATCATCTCAAGTATTGGGTCAATCGAGTCTTGGCCAAAGAGGAACTTTTTATTGAGAAAGGAATTAATAATAGTGATGAATTTTTTTTTTGGTGATTCAAACAATCTTCGAGTATCTATTCGTTTATTGTTACATTTTTATACATAACTGATTTACGACGATTGAAAAGTCAATCTCGTAGACAAAAAAAAATAATAGTGATTAAAAACTTTAATAATTTTTCTTATTATATACAAAAGAATATTTGTGTGCATAGTTTTCTTTTTATCCTTTGTGTTCGAATTTCATATACCGTATATAAAAAAAAAATATATCTCCATATTATTTCCCTTTTGTAAAAAGATTTTTTTTAAAACAATGTGTGAATGATAATCGTTCAACACTATTTTGTACAGTTTTTTTTTTTTTGGATCATTTTTTTTTTAGATAGTTTTGTTTTATTTTTTTAGTTTCATATAATTTTATTATTTTTATATTATATTATTCCCTTTTATTTTTTTTTTTTCCTTGTTTTTGCATTGATTTTTTATTTTTTTTTTTTAGTAAAACTATTTTTTTTGTGAACGAAAAAAATCATTTTATTAAATATAATAATTTTTCGTAATAATTTGAATTGGTAAATTTTACAGCATTTATTTTTTTTTATTTATAAGCTTAATATAATTGATTTTCTAGTACACATTAAAAAAAAAAAATTTGAATAACAAGCAAGCACATTACATCATCTTCAATTTCTCTCTCGTTTTTCTTCTTAAAAATCTGCATCAAGAGTAAACATATTATCAGCGGCGTTGTTTCCCAAAGAAGTTCTGCTACTCATGACACCAGCCTTTTGATAATCTGATACGCGTTTTTCAAAGAAATTAGTTTTTCCTTGTAAACTAATTAAATCCATAAAATCAAACGGATTCTCCGATTTATAATATTTCGTTCCACCAAGTGCCACTAATAACCTATCAGCTACAAATTCGATGTATTGATTCATTAAATCCGCGTTCATACCAATCAATTTAACCGGTAACGCACTTGTTAGAAATTCTTGCTCTATTGTAACCGCTTCGATTATAATAGCTTCAACTGTTTTTATTGAAGGTCGTGTACGAAGATGAGAGAACAACAAACATGCAAAGTCACAATGTAATCCTTCATCACGAGAAATCAATTCGTTGGAAAATGTTAATCCTGGCATCAATCCCCTTTTCTTTAACCAAAAGATTGACGCGAAAGCTCCTGAAAAGAATATCCCTTCGACGGCAGCAAACGCTACAAGACGTTCAGCAAATGAAGATTTTTTATCTGAAATCCATCGAAGGGCCCAGTTGGCTTTCTTTTGAATGCAAGGAACTAGAAAAGAGAAGGGTAAAAAATTTATATATCAGATAAGCTGATGGGTCAAAGAAAGCAATTCATTTTTTTTTTAAAAAAAAAAGAAAATTTTTTTTTTTGGAATCTCGATATATACTGTTCTCGACGGCGTCAAACAAATAATCCCTCTGTGCTGGTTCCTTAATATAAGTATCAATCAAGAGGGAATACATTTCTGAATGTATATTTTCGATCATGATTTGAAACCCATAGAAACATCTTGCTTCCGGGATCTGAACCTCGTTGCTGAAACGTTCCACCAAATTCTCGTTGACAATACCATCCGAGGCAGCAAAGAAAGCCAAAACGTGCGAGAGGAAATATTTCTCATCATCGTTGAGCTTATTCTCCCAATCAGGAATATCCTTGGAAAGGTCAACTTCCTCAACGGTCCAGAAGGAAGCTTCGGCTTTTTTATACATGTGCCATATCTGAAAGGTTAAATTGAGCGAGAAAACGAGGGTAAGTGACGGGTTGAGAGAGATAGAAAAGGGAAAAAAAAAAAAAAAAAAAGAGTATAATTTGAACAAGAACGCGTATATACCTCATGAAATTGTATGGGGAACAAAACGAATCGTCTTGGATTCGGTTTTAATAAAGGTTCATCATCGATATTGATAACAGTCTTTTGAGCGGGTTTATGCGTTGTCATCTTTTTCTTGATGGCAACGTTCTCCTTGTCCTCCTTGTTCTCCTTGTTCTTGTTTTCTCTTGTTTCCTTGAGGATAGTCATTATTACTAAAAAAAAATATATATATGTATATGTATGTGTGTGTATTTTACTAAAAGAGGTTACGAGGTGAGATAAGTAAAGAGGTGTGTGAATTAATTATTAATAAAGAGATTTTTTTTTGAAAAGCGAGCTAGAGAGGTGGAGGGAGTCCCATTTTATTTAGAATTTGATGATCAGGGGTGTCAACAAGAACACGTCACTGATTGGATCAAACAACGCGTTGTTTAAATCACGTGACCATCGTTTTTTTTGACAATTCGACATAACCTTAAGACACGAAATAAACAACCCAATTTAGATGGACTCTTTGTTTGAGTCGCCTCAAAAAAGAAATCTATAAATAAAGTTATGGCGCGAAAAATCAACGAGTTAAATTTGCCAAATCGGTAAGAAAATTTTGGATCGGGAAACTACTATGAATTATTTTAATTGACAAAGACCATCTCTTATGTGAAAGTATCTTGTGAAACACACCCAAGGTAAAAGCGATCTTCCTTCGAAAGGTAGTATGAGTAATGGCAAAAGTTTACTAATAGATTTTATGTAATCACTAATAGTTAATGCTGACTAATAAATAATTCCATGGAATTTCCGGTATTTCTGTACGCATCCCTGATCAAAGAATATAAATATATTACACAAAAACGAAACTTTATTTTTTTTTATTTAAAAGTCATTTGCAAACATGTTCACTGGAATAGTAGAACATATGGGCACGGTTGTTGAAATCCAACAATTAGATACTTCAAGTTCGGGTGGTGGTGGTTGGTCAATGAAAGTTGGCGATTCTGAAAATATTCTTGTTGATTGTCGTCTAGGTGATAGCATTTCAGTAAATGGTATGATTTCTTCAATTTCTCTCTGTGATTTGCTTCACTAGATTAAAATCAAATCCAATGATACATATTTTTTATATATATATAAAAAGGAACTTGTCTGACTGTAACAGAATTTGAAAAATCATGGTTTAAAGTTGGACTTGCACCGGAAACACTTAGAAGAACAAATCTTGGTGCGTATTTTCTCTTATTTCAATCTTTTCAACATTTTATTAAAACAAACAAAAAATTTTTAGGTGATTTAAAAGTTGGAAATAATGTAAATTTGGAAAGGGCAATTGCAGCAAACGTAAGATTTGGTGGACATTTCGTACAAGGACATATTGATACAACTGCAACAATCTTATCCGTAACGCCAGAAGGAAACTCTCTTTGGGTCAGATTATCACCAAGCGATAAATCTTACCTTCGTTATATTATTCCAAAAGGATATATTTGTCTTGATGGAACATCTCTTACCATCTGTGAAGTCAATGATGATGAAAGTTGGTTCAGTATCATGTTAGTGGCATATACGCAATCTCACGTGATCATGCCGACAAAGAAGGTTGGCGAGAGAGTAAATGTAGAAGTAGATATGCTTGGAAAGTACGTTGAAAGAATTGTCGAGCCAATGCTTTTTGGCGATGAACAAAAATCCGGTGGCGGTTATGTTGAGAAACTTGTCAAGAATTATTTAGAGAAAAGATCAAATGCATAATTTATTCAATCTAAAATCTCTTGATTTTTTTTTTTTAAAAAAAAATCAAAAAATTGTTATAACCCGCATTCGACTATTTCGAATTATCAAAATTAATCTATTCATCATCGTGTAATTAGTCTAAATATACTAAAATAATAATTTCTGCACAATTTATTAATTATTTAATGAAATTTTGGAAACTTTGGAAACAGTCGCGACAATTAACACGCCTGTTACACACACTTTAAAATAGTTTTTTTTTTTAAAAAAATAAATAAAAATATATAATAAAAATAAAAATGCTTACTTATAAAAATATCATTTTACACTACACGTTTGACTTCAAAAAATCTTTTTAAATAAAACACTTGCCAAAAGCATACACCGAAAAGAACGAAAAATTGGAAAATCGACCACCATTTTACTCGATCATTTGTACTTTCAGCAGCTAAAAAGAAATAATAATTATTAATAGGAGCCCAAGAAATTTTGCATGAAATAAAAAAAAATACTTACTATCTCTATGCCTTTGTTCTCGAATTACGATATATTCTTGCTCGTCTTTGATAGCAGCAAGACCATCAGCTAATTCACGTATTTCTTTTTCTAATGGGTCAGTGTGCGCTAGAAATTTTATAATTGAGTAATTTTAGACATCTTGTTTTCTCGATATGAGGTTATTTTAAATGTGGAACATACATCCATCATCCGGAACGTAGACAATTCCATGAACATTAAAGCTAACGGTCTTTTCAGAAACTGTAGACATCTCATTACTAAAACAATATGTGTATCGACCATCTTTAGTTGCTGTTATACTATATGTCCCTGTAGTTTGTTTTTGACCATTTTCTATAATACGATCGGAAGGATCTGATATCTTTGGAATAAAAAAGATAATTATCAGTGAAAACTTGACTTTGCATTTGAATTAAATGTATTATTTTTCTAATTCAATAAGTGAGTCTCGTGTAAAACTTTATAATAATTGCCCCATTTTTATAAAAATATCTAGCAAACAACTTATTACTATTATTAAGAAATAATTCAAGATTAATTACCCAAAAATCGACATCTAAATGTCCTCCTTCGCCAACTTGAAAAGTTATTGTCATTTTATCATCAAGATGTAAATCTTCGAAAAAGCATTCTTTTACATAAGCTGGAAGTGTAATTGTATGCGCCGCCGCAAGGCATATTACTGATAAGAGTGTGAGAGCAAATCCTAGGAAAGAACGCATATTTATTTACTATAGGTTCGAAGTGAAAAACAAAAACTATTTATCTTGATCTGACCCACCGAAAATTTGCCAACACTTTGTGTAATCTCAAATTCTGGCCAATCATTGCGCGTGTTAAATTTACGTCACAGATTCGTGAAACAATCTTTTTTTTTTTTTAAAAAAAATCCACCAACTGATAAAGATGAAACTTTCTCTTTCTTCCATAAAAAGACAAATCCCCTTTTAAATATAGTGAATCTAACAATGAGCACTTTTGAAAAGGTATTCATCTTTTATTTATCAAATAAGAACATGTGATTTATCAGTTTAATGTAGGATTGTTGGGTCGGTTGCTATATATATATATATATTTTTGGTTATTTTTAATTTTCGATATCTATATTGTCAGGTGGTTGTTGTAGACGGCAAAGGTCATTTGCTCGGGCGATTGGCATCTATTGTAGCAAAGCAAATATTAAATGGTCAAAAAGTTGTAATTGTTCGTGCTGAGGAATTGAATGTATCAGGGTCTTTTTTCAGAAATAAGAGTAGGTTTAATTTATTGTTAATCAGATTTTGATAATTTATTGTAATTTATTAACATTGTATTAATTTATTAACGAAAGTCAAGTACCATGATTATCTCCGTAAACGTATGATTGTCAACCCAGCACGCGGTCCTTTTCACTTTCGAGCACCTTCTAAAATCTTTTATAAGACTATACGCGGAATGATTCCGCATAAGACTTCGCGGGGTACAGAAGCTTTGAAACGTCTTAAGATCTTTGAAGGAATACCACCTCCATACGATAAGACGAAGCGTATGGTTGTTCCTGATGCCTTGAGAATTTTACGATTGAAACCTGGTCGTAAATTTACTACAATTTCTCGCCTCTCTAATGAAGTTGGATGGAAATATGGTGAAGTTATTGAGCAACTTGAAGAGAAACGTAAAGTCAAGAGTAAAGAATTTTATGAACGTAAAAAGAAATTGGCAAATATTAAATCACGGGCCCTAAAAAATAAGGCCGAAGATTTGTCGAAAGTCCAACAAAGTATTTCTACTTATGGGTTTTAAATAATCTAAGATGAAAAGTTGTGATTCTTTTTTTTTTATTTGAGAGGAATACATATATTAAAAAAAATTGTGTTTTAATTTGATTAGATCTAATCCAATCCCATATTAAATTTTCTATTTTTTTGCTATATAAACAATATAATATTTACTAAAATTACTTATACAAATGTTAACTTCTGCTCCTAATCGGAGATTAAATTTTTCACATTTATTTGTAATCGTAATCATATGTAATAATAATGATAATGGATGAGATCGTTTCTAACGCAAACTTAACCTTTGTCCTATATATATCGCAAAAGTATAATTGTGAAATGTGCATGGTACGTGACTGAAAGTATTTGAAATTGGTCCTTTATTTTATATTTTAATAATGATTTGAAGCTATAAATCTAAGATTATATATATAACATTATTATTATTCCGATTTTTTCTTAATTCTAAAATTTGCAATTGTAAATTGAATCAGAAAGTTATATTTGTTTAATCTATTCAATTAAGATTTAACCATTTTTTTTTTATATTTTAATTTTTATTAACAATTAATTATTTATATATGTATTAATAAAATATTGCTTAAATCTTTTGAATTTTATTTAAATTTTAATATATTTATTATCAGCAGTGTGATAATGGTTCCTATTCTTTCATTTATTCCATCTTTCCAGTTTCCCATTCACTAACAACTTCCCAATCTTCATCCGTTGTAAGTCCTTCTTTCGTATGTTTTAGGCAACTGGCTGAGACAAAGCTACTTTATCACAGAAGGCAATGTCAACTTCAACTATTTCCTTGACATGATCCGGAAGACTCATCCGGTAACCCTTGACAAAAATTTGATCTAGCGCATCTGTGGTGGCACCTTTCATTATATCGGAGTCATCATTTTCAGCACGCTTAAATTCATACGCTATGCTAACGGTTTTATTTTGGACAATTGGAATGATTCGGACATCTGGACGGCCAACCCCAACTTCAACCCGGTATTCAACGCCATGGTAAATAGCAAGTGCTCCGAGAAACAAATATATGGTACCAAGTTTCATATAACTTACATCTTTTGAGATCACCAATATCAAAGCAAGATATCAACTCCATATAAAGCGGTGGAAATTTGTTACAAAATGTAGCAATATCTTTTTTAAAAAAATGATTCGTAGATTTCGTTTGTTTTCGCATAATTCATACTCATAATCTCAAAAATCCACAAAATCCATTGGCATACTACCTCTCTATTTGGGATTACTAGTTTAACATTTTTCACAGTATGACCAGTCAAAGATCCTGAACCATAGTCAAGTAACCACTATAGTATAATAAAGTACATAATGCGTTTATCTCTGGCTTCGTATCAAGGTCATTGTATCGGAGATATGGCATTAATTCCACATCTAGACCTACTATAGACTCATCTTGACCTACAGACTCAACCACATCTTGACCCTGACAGAAGGAATGGGAATGGATAATATTATGGAGCCGATCTTTGACTCCTGACCCACACTTTTTTAGGTATTCTACAAGTGTGGTTGCAGAACCGCTATTGATCCAATAATTATCAATTTCATTTTCTCTAGATATTATTGAATGTGGACTGTAAATGTGCACTTTAGTGCTCGTTCGGTATCCATTATAGTAAAGACGTAGCTCATTAAGTTTTTCATTTTGATGTTTTCTTTCTAGCAAAGACTTAATTTCCTCTTCGGTAAATCCAAATGTATCAGAGAAAATAGCACGGCCAGAACGGTTTGGTCTTTCATGCATTGGATAGGTTACTACATTGTTTAAAATCCGGAAAGAAAGCTTGATTGTTCTAGTGAGAGAGTCCCAACAAACAGGATCTTATGCACGTAACTATTTTCCTGCATAGAATTTTTTGTAGTTTTAACAAGCACATATGCAATCAGTTAATTACAATACATATGCTTACCTTAGCTACACTTGAGTACATTACTCTAAAAAAATCGTTAGCTGAATCATAAAATCCTCTTGCATTTTCCATAGGCAAATCGTATTCGTCGATTAGAATAATGGAATTCTTGCCAAAGAACTCGTTAAGATAACGTGCTAAACTAGAAATGGCATTAGACAAATATTCTTCTTCTGTTGTTCCATTGAGTATTTTCACAAAATCTTTTTTATCATCCTCTGGAAGAATGCTAATAAGGTATCGATGTTCTTTGTATAGATCTGAAATTCTTTTTTTTATTTCGTTTCGCATTTGTTCCCAGGATTTACTGTTAAGATCCTAGTAAAGTAAGTCTTGTTAGTTACTACAGAACCGGGAAAACTCTATTAAATGTCACCGCAGAGCTTAGATTCGAAAAATACTTTAAAATAATTAAATGTCCACCACCAAAATAATTAATAAAAATCACGTGTTGATTCGCAACAATAAGAATTTTTTGTGACAATCTTTCCTTTCTTGGTTAGATTACTATACTTGGTGAATAAATAGCCAAATAGCCAATCATATTACGATTCGCAGTCGTGTGTTTTTTTTGATACTTTGGCGGGGACCTTACATATAGTTTTCCCGGTCCTGTTACTATGTAATAGTAGGTTACACCATGCTTGCTTACCTTGAAGCTAATGTGAATCACGGGCCACTGTTGGTAGAACAACTTCGCAAACCATTCGAATCTAGCAACTTTTAATTCACTAACAACGATTTTTTTATGTCTGGTTTATAATTTAATGGAGGATAATCCACTGAAAGGAACGTATGAGCATCGAAAGATTGGTTGATTTTCCGAACCGACGAGGGCGAGTAATCAGATTGGCCCGTTGTCCATAGATCATAAACTCCATTATAAAGAGTGATTTATCAACAAAAGTACCCGAAGTCACAAACTTTTTAAAATTCTGATTCGCCTAGAGATAGACTCCATTGTCAATTATTATGGGAGGTTCATTTAAGGCCCTTTTGATTGCTTTATTGTACAATATATGTTAATAAATAATAATAATTAACAAGCTTTTAAGGAAAAGCTTACCATCTGATTGTTCATTCCATGTCATACTCGTAACATCGAGAGCTGGGAAGTGAAGATTAGCATTATTATGTTCAGCACAAAAGATAGGCGCTTAAAATTATTACAACGTACCTTTGATTATTTTAAGTTTTTTTTTTTGGTGGGTAATAATCTGGAATATTCGATACTAAATAAATAACAAAAGTTCGTGCGTCAGACTGAACTCAATATTTTGTTACTACAAATTTCTTGTTCGAGAGGTAAACCGATTGGAGACACTTACCAGTGGTGGGGACTACGATGAAATGAACATTTCTGTCTGTAGGTGGATGATCAAAATAATCAGTAAAAAAATCTAATGGAATCATCATGTTGCCACGAAGCTTTTCTTTAATGTCTTCTTCAGTAGAAACATCTTTAAGTTTACAACCATCTTCTCGTTTGATATCAACCCTCCAAAGATTTAGATCGTTACTAAGATTATCTTTTTCCTTCAAGATAAGCTTTTTGAGGTGAGGAATTTTTAATTGCTGTAATTTGATTAATTTATTATAATCAACGCGGTTTTCTTCGGAAATGTCAACAGAGAAAGCTTTATTAAAGGAAGTTTCGCCTAAAACCAAACAATTTAACGACATAATTATTTCGAAAAAGGTTCTGTGATAAATTGAAAATATTTTTAAGAGGAAAGAGTTAAGAGAGCTTTTGAGAAAGTTTGAGGTATATATATTTAGGGATGTTAAGGTCTGGTCTGACTCTGGTTTGATCATAGAACCGGTTTCGGTTCGATTTGAGGAACTGAACCGAGTCGAACCGGTATTTAGACCGGTTTGGACGATCAATCTATATAAATGCGTGTCGCGTAAATTGTAAGACGCGTTGATCATTTTAACTATGGTGCATTTCATCTATACTCAAAACCAGTCCAAAATTTCTTTTCACATAACTAATCACGTGACAAAACACGTGATTTTTAACCAATAAAATTTAATGTATACGATACAGTTTATATATTAGAAAATTTATATTTATTAATCAATGACAACTATTTTAAATTTTTAAAGTAATTTGATTTAGTTCTTCAATTAAATGATCAGGAATTCGTCTATGGGGATTTATATTTCTTTACACAGCATAGCGGGCTTTCATTGTGATTGGCTAATTTTTGTAGATCATTTTTTAATATTACTAAAATTCTATTGGTTGAT